GAGCAAGGAATGACTTCATAAAGCAGTGCAGCTGAGGGGCATGGGGTGGATGGAGGGGAAAGGAAGGAGTGAAATGACTGAGAAAGGAGGGTTTTTCTTTTTTTAGTACGCCTTGTGGAAAATGGAGGGAGGATTTGCTGCTGTTCTTTCTCCTGCTTTCGCGTGACATGTTTATTTTTATAAATCTTATGACCTTTGTTGCCTTTTGCACTCACAACAACTCTGTGGGCTGGTCTGGACCCCCTTCCCATTTCGTAGGTAGGGAACTGAGCACCAAGAGAGAGAATCTCATTCAGAGGCATGCAGTGAACCTGCAGCAGAGGCAAGACCTGACACTAGACTTCCAAGAACTATGCCCAGCTCCAGAGGTCATTTGGGGGGGGATCACAGTTCCCCCGGGTGAGGTACGGGGGGTGGGGCACATGACGAAGCCCCGCCCCCTGCTTCCGGCCGCCCCGCTTCCAGCCCTCATTCAGCCAGGAGAAGGCAGGAGAAGAGGGAGGGTAAGTTGCTTCCTCCCTGCCTCTCCCCACCCCTGACTGCCTGGGGCCAGGGAGGGCCTCATGGGGATCGGCAGTGGAGCTGCAAGGCCGCCGGTGGCGGCCGGGACCGTTGGGGGCGGGGTGTGTGGCCTTATGACACACTTCCGGTGATGTCAGGGGGTGGGGCATATGCTAATGAGTTATGCTAATGAGTCCCCCTAGCTCTTTTTCTACAAAACGACCCCTGCCCAGCTCTTAATCCAATGGGTCTCCCCTGCTCTAAAACAGAAGAAAGTGGAGGGGGGAAGCTTCTGTTATGAGCCCTGGAAAAGAAGTGCACTCATCCCTCCAGATCTAAGATCATCATTATTATCATTAGATGTCTCATGCTATTTGATCGCATCGTTCTACATGTCTGATCTGCCTTGAGTCTCATTGGGCTTTACAGCACATTTGGCTTGCTCTTGATTTTCTTAGCGGTTAATCCACAAGCATTGGGATCGGTTTGGGCACGGTTCTTCCACACGTCTGCCCTCCCTCTGCATTTTCACAGTTGTGGAGTGAGTTTGTTTTCTTCTGCACGTGTCTTCAGTAATAAGTATTTTCAGGGGAGGGTGCTGTTGTCATCAGTGGCATCACAGCACCCCCCACCTTTATTTTTTGTGCATTCTTCTATCGATACATCGATATCATGGCTATGGTTTTTTAAAAGGTGCTAAAATATTGATATACCGTTGTAATGGTAGGTGTAGAAGGTTCTCTGAATCCCCAGATTTTTTTTTAAGTAAGTCTTTTTTTAGCAGTTTATTTATAATTTTTCCATAATAAACAGTAATACAAATATTAAACTATATATACATTGGATTCTTTTTTTAAAATATTTTGTTTGTCCATTTATACACTCTCAACCATCTTTTAATGTGTATGTTGTCGTCTTTTCCTTGAAGTATCAAACTCAATTTGTCCATTTCTGCCATTTCTAACAACTTGCACGCTATTTCCTCTCTTGTTGGAATTTTTTCTAATTTCCAATATTTTGCTAGTAAAATTCTAGCAGTCGTCAAAATATATATCAACATATAAACATCGTTTCGTTCATACTGCTCCGGAATTATGTTTAACAAAGCTATTTCTCGTGTAAAAGCTATGTTTATATTCATTTTTCCTGTTATGTTTTGCACCATCAACCAATAATTATACTTTTAAAAAGTAAGTCTTTAGCTTCTTTTCTCTCAAAGATATAAGGAAAAAGGCATATTGTCACCAGCATTTTATTTTTATTTTATTGTGAGCTGTGCTTGTTATGTTTGTGCTTTAATGTGTTTTTAACCCTTATTGTAAGCCACCCTGAGCCTGCCTGTGGCGGGGAGGGTGGGATAAAAATTGAATAAATTAATAAATAAATATCTCCTCCACAAGTGAGTGGGATAGAGACTTACTCTTTTTTTTTTAAAGAAAGCTAGGAATTTAGAGAATTTGCTAAACCTATCATTATAACAGTATATCAATATCTGAGTGCCTTTTTTAAAAAAATAAAAAATGAAACCACTTGTCTTCAGGGAGGGAGGGGAGGTGGCTTGGCAATGACAGCCCAGTCACTGAAAAGTGAGCTGGGGGTGGGTGGGAACGAGTGGGATTTTAAAAAAACTGATGGAAACATTATTCATGAGGAAAAAGGCAAATCAGAATCAGTTTCCAGAAGAAGAATGGGGTAAAAGTGGTCTCAAAAGAACCAGGGGGAAAAAAAGGGAAAACAAGAAGAATGAAGTGGAAACTAAAGGCACAAAAATGCCAGTGGAAATCAGGATAAGATAAACAGAAGCCGTATGGGGCCAGAACCAATTGGGGGGGGGGGGGCCCCCCAAAAAAACCCGCCCTTTGAGAAAGGAGGGCTATAAATAAAGTAAACACATAAATGCACTTGCCAGGTGGCCGCTGGTGAGCACATTTTCCTTACCCTTCCTCGCAGCCATGGGCTGACTTTGGAGAATCTCAGAAATTAGCAGGATTTCTCACTTTCTGAATCACTTTAAGGTTCGGCACAAGTCCCCGTCCTTCTCCTGGCACCAAAGACAGGTGAAGTGATGTCGTCGTTGAGACTGGGATTGGTGGCAAGTGTGGCTCTTGTTTGGCTGCCAAGGCCAGCTGCCCACAGAGGGTGAACCTCTGTTCAGGACACTTGCCTTTGTACTGAGGAGGAGCCCAGCGTGAGGAACTTCAGATGGCATCCCATAATGCTCAGCTTCCGTGTTGCTGGCCATATTGATGTCCATCCCTTCCATTGTTGCTGTTTGTCCTTTGCAGCCCAAGTACATCCAAAACATCCTCAAGGCAGCTGAGCTGAGAAAGAAGGAGCAGGAAAAGAGAATGGAGAAGAAAATACAGAAGGAGCGTGAAATGGAAGGGGGCGCATTTGACGACAAAGAAGCTTTCGTGACGTCAGCCTACAAGAAGAAGCTGCAGGAAAGAGCGGAAGAGGAAGAAAGGGAGAGGAGGGAGGCCGCTCTCGAGGGTGAGCCAGACGGTTGCTTTTTGCTCTTGCGTGGGCTCCTTGGAGAAACGTATTGGCATCAGTCGTATTTGGCACAGGAGCAGCTTCTTGCGAGTCAGTCGGGTGCTCTCTCTGTGCAACCTTAGGTGGGGGTAGCATTTTGAAATGGGTTCTGGAGTGCCATTCTGGTGCCCACCTCCCCCCCCCCCCGGCTTGCACAGCCCTTGGTGCCCTGAACGTGTTCCCAGTTTTTCCCTTTTCTTTCTTTCAGCGTGCCTGGATGTGACCAAGCAGAAGGACCTCAGCAGGTTTTACAGGCACCTGTTGAACCAGTCAGTAGGAGAAGAGGAGGTGCCCAAGTGCAGCCTTCGGGAGGCCAGGTAAGACTTGGGAAGGGGGAAGCTTCTCCTCCTGGGGACTTGTGGTGCCGCAGTAGGGCCCTCGTCTAACAGTGAAGCACCTCTAGGCGCGTTTTGGGCCATCAAGAGCTTTACGTGCTACTTGATGACCACAAAGCTGTCATTCTACCAGCTCTGCTCTTTTGCGCCATGCTGGCGTGGATTGGTAGTCTCAAGTCAACCCAGTAACTAATAATAATTATTGTATGGCATTGTGTGTGGTATAGCCAGGAGATCCAAAGATTGTCTGGCAGCCTTAAGTTCTAACTCTTTTGGCATTATGCACCACTAGGTGGTGAGCTAGACTTTTTTTTGGGGGGGCTCAGAGCTCTGAGAGCTGTGACTGACCCTAGGTCACCCAGCTGGCTTCATGTGCAGAAGTGCATAATTGAACCCGGTTCTCCAGATTAGAGTCCGCCACTCTTAACCACGACACCACACTGGCTACACCACCTAATAGCTGCTTGCTATGGAAAAACAGGGAAGATCTTTCACGTGGTGTGAGTTGGGCTGGTTTCTTGCCCTCGGGGACTTTTAGTTATAAAATCGTTCCTCAATAAGAATGTCGCAGGGACAGGACTAAAGTGGCTTTCTCAATGGTGGCACCACAGCCTTTTAACACAGCTCTAAGGAGGCCTTTCTTTCTGGCTCCCCAGTGATTTTCAATCTGGTATGGTTTCCTTTGCTACTGATGTGTCTGTGCTTTTATCGTTTGCATAACATTCTCTTTATTTGAGCCTTTTTTCCAATGTTCGAGTTTTGAACTTTGCATTGCCTTGAGTGCTTTTTTGGCAGAAAAGCTATACATTTTTTAAATAAGGAAAGCCTTTGTTCTAACTTAGCCAAGGGAGTCCACCTTGCTTCTGTAACACCTTTTTTTTAATGCTAACTTTAAAATATGGTCATAGCAAGTTGTCTTGTGTCTTCTCCAAAAAAGGCAGGTTAATATTAAAATAAGTAAAAAATTGATGGCCGCCAAAAATGCCCTTGCTGCTCACCTTCCAGATACTGGGATCAGTGTTCTCTAAGCTGCGTTAGTGTGAGCTAGCTCACAGTTTTTTAGCCTCCAGCGCACACATTTTTGTCTTCGCTCAGGAAGGATGGCTCCAGAGCAAACTAATTTATGCAGCAGCCAAATCGCCCACTCACGACTTTAATGCCAGGAGCTCACAAAGTAGGATTTTTGCTCACAAGACTCCATGGCTTAGAGGGAGCATTGCTTGGGATCCTTTTGTGCTCCTTCTTGTCTAAGCCAGCTCTTAATTTACGAGCAAGCTGGTTTAGTTATGCAGCTGTGCAGTCTTTCCTTAACACCTCCCTGTTTACTCAGAACTGTTTGCCTTGTAAGAACCAGACTGCTGGATCAGACCAGAGGCCCGCCTTTCTGTTGCCTGATGAGTTCTCCCGGACAGCTCACAAGCAGGCCGCGAAGGCCCATCTCCCTGGGAGGAGGGGGGCAGGCACCCTTGAGGCATCCTTGAGTAAGCAATTCCTGCCATTGGGACAAGAGGCAGGGCCAGAGCCCAACTTCCGGGTACCACTGGCGGAAGGCCCCACTCCTCCTTCAGCAGTTTGTTTTCTGCCTTGTCAAGAAGGGCAGGGGTCGTCATAAGAACATAAGAGAAGCCAATGTTGGATCAGGCCAATGGCCCATCTCGTCCAACACTCCGTCACACAGTGGCCAAAAATACCAGGTGCCATCAGGCGGTCCAGCAGTGGGGCCAGGACACCAGAAGTCCTCCCACTGTTGCCCCCCCCAGCACCAAGAATACAGGGCATCACCTGCCCCAGACCCAGAGTTCCTATCTATCCCTTGTGGCTGATAGCCACGGATGGACCTCTGCTCCAGATGTTTATCCAGTTCCCTCTTGAAGCTGTCCATGCTTGTAGCCGCCGCCACCTCCTGTGGCAGTGGATTACATGTGTTAATCAATCTTTGGGTGAAGAAGGACTTCCTTTTATCTGTTCTAACCCGACTGCTCACGAGGTTCATGGAGTACCCACGGAGCTCTGCTTCACGCTGCTCCTAAGCCAGCTTTTCTCTCTTTTCTCCGCTCCACAGTAGTCCTAGGCCACTGCGACCTCCACTTTTACCTCAGCTTTCTGCCTTTTTAAAAAACTGACCTCCTTTTCCTCACCCCACTTGTTTGTTACCTTATTTATAGTTCCACCTTTCTCATTGAGACTCAAGGTGGTTACACAGTGTGGGTTAATACAATAAACAGGATGGGATGTCCAATAAGACACCGTAATAGGGTTAGGACTGCAGTTTTCTACAGAATCTGCAGTAGAACTGAAACAAAGCAGAAATATTAACATATGTTGAATAATGCAGAAATCACATGGTAGGATCATACATACAGCAACTGCTGTACAAAATAGTGTAGCTTACAGTCCTCTTTATGCCTTTACTATAGTGCATTTCTGAACAACGTTTATTTTGCTTTTATTTATTTAAAACTCTTAATTGCCAAATAGGTCCCAAAAGTGGTGACTATCAAGGCATTAAAACGGCATTTTAAATGTATGTATAAATTTTTAATGGTACAGTAAAACGTAGACACTAACAAACGCACACAGACAACCAGGGAGGAGGGCCAGGAAGAATTTACTGGGCCTATGCCAAAGGAAACAGAAGAACATAAGCCAGTGCTGGATCAGGCCAATGGCCCATCCAGTCCAACACTCTGTGTCACACAGTGGCCAAAAATACCAGGTGCCATCAGGAGGTCCACCAGTGGGGCCAGGACACTAAAGAAGCCCTCCCACTGTTGCCCCCCCCCCAAGCACCAAGAATACAGAGCATCACTTGCCCCAGACCGAGGGTTCCTGTCTATACCATGTGGCTCATTCACTGATGGACCTCTGCTCCATATGCTTATCCCATTCCCTCTCGAAGCTGTCCATGCTTTTAGCCGCCGCCACCTCCTGTGGCAGTGACTTCCATGTGTTAATCACTCTTTGAGTGAAGAAGTACTTCCTTTTATCCGTTCTGACCTGACTGCTCAGCCCACGAGTTCTTGTATTGTGAGAAAGAGAGAAAGTACTTCTTTTTCTACCTGCTCTATCCCACGCATAATCTTGTAAACCTCGATCATGTCACCCCTCAGTCATCGTTTCTGCAAGTTAAAGAGCCCCAAGTGCTTTAAGCTTTCTTCATAGGGAAAGTGTTCCAACCTTTTTATCATTCGAGTTGCCCTTTTCTGCACTTTTCCCAATGCTATAGTATCCTTTTTGAGGTGCGGTGACCGGAACCGTACACAGTACTCCAAACGAGGTTGCACCATCAGTTTATACAGGGGCATTATGGTACTGCCTTTGTTTTCAGTTCTCTTCCTAATAATCCCCAGCATAGTGTTGGCCTTTTTTATCATAGTCGCACACTGTCTCGACATTTTCAGTGAGTTATCTACTACGACCATAGTTCCCTCTAAGCTGAGTTGGTGTGAGCTAGCTCACAGATTTTTAGCCTCCGGCTCACACATTTTTGCCTTAGCTCAGGAAGGATGATGCCAAAGCAAACTGATTTATGCAGCAGCCAAATCGCTCGCTCACAACTTTAATGCCAGTAGCTCACAAAGTAGGATTTTTGCTCACAAGACTCCACAGCTTAGAGGGAACATTGACTACGACTCCAAGATCTCTCTCTTGGTCAGTCTCCGCCAGTTCGGATCCCATCAGTGTGTATTCATAGTTAGGATTTTTGGCCCCAGTGTGTATCACATTGCACTTGGCCACATTGAACCCCATTTGCCACGTTGACACCCTTTGGAGTGCCTCACCACCCTGAACAATTTTGTGTCGTCCCCAAATTTAGCCACTTCACTGCTTACTCCCAACTCCAAAAAGGTCTTCTTCACCTGCCAGCAGAAAAACAGTGATCCAGGGAGACGGACTAGGAAGGAGTTCCAAAGTTTCAGCGCAGTGGACAAGAAGGCCCTTTCTTGGGTTGCCACCTATCTAGCCCCGGGGGGGGGGGGGCATTCAAATCAGAGATGAGCAGAGAGGACCGCTTTTGCACCGGAGCTCATTCAGTTGTTCCTATCGCACCTCTGATCTGCTTTCTGCAAACCGTCTTCTGTAGTATAGTTAGGCCTTGACTGACATTCAGCTGTTTGGATGCCTGGTGCAGAGGTGTTAATTTAGCTTCTTCCAGATTTTCTACAAATTCTTTTGTGTTTGGGGTCGGCTACCATTCATTTCCTGCTCTGGACGTATTGAGACTGCTGTGGGAGACGGCTGGTCCCAGGCAGCTGTGCTTTGTTCCCGCCTGCTGTCCTAATGGGACAGACCACCCATCAGTCAAGGATGCCCTCCGTATCGCTGAGCAGAAGGAACAACCTTGTTACACCCAGTGCCCCATTCTCCATAGCTTGCCCCCAACGTTGTGGAACTTTAATGATGAGTACGCTTCTCGAACAGAATTTCTCATAGAGAGACAGGGCAGTTCAGGGGTCAGAGTATTGGTCTAGGACAGTGATGGCGAATCTTTTAGAGACCGAGTGCCGAAGCTGCAACCCGAAACCCACTTATTTATCGCAAAGTGCCAACTACTACTACTACTACTACTACTACTACTACTACTACTACTACTACTACTGTTATTGTAATAAACACTCTCTCTTTTTAAAAACAAAATCAAACAAACAAACATAAATGCATACACTGCTCTCAGCCTAACCCATCACTGGGTTGTGAGGATAAAGTGGAGGAGAATGATGGAGGCTGCTTTGGTTTCCCACTGGGGAAAAAGGCAGGATATAAATAAAGTAATTAAATAAAATAAGCCAGGGGTCACTCTGTCAGATGTGAGAAGTGTTACATTCAGTGGGCGAATACATGCGCAGACATACAATCAAAGGGCGGGGTGTATTTACAAAGACCGGCCGAAAGGCCCAGTATCTGGCTTCTCTTTGTGCTGACACTCTCCCCTCTCCATGTATATCTTTCTGCCAACTGAATGTAAGACTTGGTGCCTCTGGCTGACGAAAGCCTCTGCCCCATAAATGTTTCAGTCTTCAAGGTGCCACAAGACTTTGTTGTTCCAAACACAGAGTTTCTGTTTAGCTACAATGACTAATAAAATCAAAAATGTGAACTCAGCACTGTAAACGTGTGGTTTCCCACATGTGCCGAATGCCATTAAAATGTGATGTAAATAGATAATGTAAGCAGATGATTGTGCTTGGAAAGATAAGAGATGGTGCAGGATATCCTAGATTTCTAGTGACGGGATTCTTTTTCTTTCTTTCTTTTGCCTTTTTAAAAACTCCAGGATAAAGGAAGAAAAACCCAGTGGAGATTTCAGCGACTCCAGACCAACGAGCAGAAGCCCAGAAGTGAAAAGAGGGCCTCACATCCCTCTAAGGGGAGACGATAGCTCAGATGCAGACAGTGAGGTGGAAATGGGTAGCCCTGATTGGGAGGATGGTGCAGAAGCTCTCAGAGACAGCGGAAAGGAGGCCCGGCCAAGTGAAACTGATCCCAGTGGGGAAGGTTCCAAGCCTCACAAGAGCCAAAGAGACTCGAGGTCCTGCAGCGAGGAGAGAGGTGGCCACTCAAAGGGGCCTGCCGCTCACTCAGAGAGAGAGGAGGGAGGAGGAAGCCGGAAGGAGAGAAGAGGGCAGCCCAGGGAAAGGGACCTTGAGAGAAGACAGAGAGATACTGGCAAGGAAGAGCACCCGAGGTCCGAGGACCATTACAGGAGGCAAGAAGAGCGAGAGAGCAAGCAGAGGAAGAAAGACAGGAAGGAGAAAGAGGAATATGACAGAGAATCGCGGAAAGAGAGAGAGAAAGAGAAGCACTCGCATTGGCAAGAACAAGGGAAGGAAGGGTTGGTGAGCAATAAAGACCATGGCAAAGATTGGGAAAGGGGAGAGAGAGACAGAGGTGCTAAAATCAGAGGGCCAAGGGATGAGAAAGAGGAGAAGCCCCCGAGAGAGAGAAAGGACAGTAGCCCCCAGTCCTCGGTAAAAGCTGACCCCCAGGCTCTGGAAAGAGAGAGGGGAGAATAGCAGCCGTCAGACTTGGAGAGAGCGTCAGAGCCGAAACATAAGAGTGCAGCGGAGGAAACAGGGCAGGCAGAGGAACCTGTGGCCAGCCAGAACAAATTTGCAAAGCGTAGCAATGAGGAGACCGTCACATCCGCAAGGGACCGCTACTTGGCTAGGCAAATGGCACGTGTGGGCACCAAAGCATACATCGAAAAAGAAGAGGATTAAGTTGTGTTTTGGAGAAGTGGCGTGTGCTACCCTATTGGGGAAACCAGGGCTCCTGGCCGTTGCACACAGAAGGGAGATTAGCCCCCCGGCATGTCTTCCTAGAATTCCCCTACAGAATCCACCTCTGTGTAGAAACAGATCAAGAGCATTCACCCCTGCACAGGGGGCGGACAGCTTCAATAGGGTCTGTTCACCCTGCCCTTCCCCATCTCAGTCCTTGTGTCTCCTGAATGCATTGGGCCTCCTTATGCAGGGAGCAGCCTCACCCTAGCCTGTGTGCACATCACAACCTTCACCAGGGGGGTTTCTCTTGAAAACTTTGTCTGGTGAGAAGTACAAATGCATCCGTCAGCAACAGAAATCTTAACCGGATACTTTCTGAATGCAGCCCCACCCACACACCCAGAGTTTATTCCACAATAGATGTAAAGTTCTCAGTGCTTTTATTTTAGGGATTTGAAACTCCTGCTGTACAGAAAGACTGAAATAAAAAGAAAGAGATGTATCTTAGATCTCCTTTTGTGGTTCCATTTCTGCGGGCCGAGTGTCACAGATTTAACACTGTTGTGTAGGAAAGTGCAAGTGCCACCAGCTGCAGGTTTCGAAGGGGAAGTTTCTCGTGCACATCCTGTGGTGCAGAGAATGTCTGGATCAGGCCCTGGGGATTAGAGACGCCAAGGATTGACATAGCTACCGCTGAAGAGCCTCCATCTTCTAGCCAGGCAAGTGAGAAACCTTACATAGTTTCACAATACCTTTTGAAGTACAGTTTCTTCTCTTTGCTAGCAACAAAATTTAAATTTCCAACACAGAAATTGTTAGACTCCCATTTTCCCCTTACCGCACTGTGTTTTAATTACGAACATTGATTTGTGGGGCTTCTGTGCCCCTGAGGAAGCTATAGGCCTGCTTTGCTTTTGCTGGTTGTGGGTTTTTCCCAGGTTTGCATAGGACGTTATAAAATAACGTTTCAGTGTGCCAGTATTTACCTTCCTGCATTAAGTTTGCTTTCTTAAAAGCCTTTTGTCTTCAAGCATCCCGTGTTTTCATCCCGTGTGCCAGGAAGCATCCAGGAAGGAAGTTTGTGTCTTGCAGTCGTCAAGGAGATAGCGGTAGTGTCTTTGCCAGCTCCAGAAATAGAGATCTGTTTTCCTCCTATCCTCTGAAGCATTGTGTGGGTGGGAGGCGGCTCGGACTTTAGTGTTAAGGAGGGCAGTGAGAAAGGGGACACATCCCTAAATAAGATCACAGGACTGACTGGGGTAAAGGCCACTTGAACCTGCATAGGGATGGGCCGAGGCTCAGTGGCACAGACCATACATGTGCTTTCTCCATTGGGACTCCCACCTTATGGAATGGCCTGCCCAAGGAGCTCAAGGAAGCTCCCGCTCTCTTGGCTTTCCACACTGGGTGAAGCTGAATTATTCAAGAGGGGCTTTTTCTGTGCAGGCAGTAGGGCTACACTGTACAAAATGGGCAGTAGGGCTACACTGTACAAAATGGTTCACAATCTTTCTTGGATAAATAGTTAGGGACTGTGGTCTGTCTATACTGCTGTGTGTAGCTTACTATAAGTGAGATTCTGTTCTGGAATTCTTGTACCACTTAATGTATCGTGTGAATAGTTCTGCTTTGCTCCAGTTCTTTCTGGTGGCTCCAGACTTCTACAATCCTAATGCATTGGTTATTGAAGGCCCCGTTTCGTCGACTGTACTGACTCGCTATGCATAATCTGCCTTGAACCTTTGTGAGAAAGGCGGACTGTGATGTAAATAAATGAACGTGTATGGCTCACCAGGTTTCAGTGTGGCTGGGACCAGCGGCCTGTAGGTGAGCGCTGGGAAGCCCGTCAGGAGGGGATGTGATTGAGACCAAGGCCTAGAGGGCCGGCAGGCTTAGCAGTGCGGGTGCTGCTTCTGGAGTGGATTCAGCAAAACTGAGTACGGAGGCAAGAAAAGGAAGCACGGAAGAATCCAGGCTGTGCCGTTGGATGAGGGTTGTCCGTGTACATGCAGATGTTGCCTCCTTGTTTCGTACCAAAGGTGGTGGTGGGAAACAAATGTGGGTAAACTTCCTTTGCTCACGAGCTGTGTGAAATCTACCACTAAGAGCCTCTAGCACAGGGGGGAGAGCTTTTTTAATAAAACTGGAAGACATTTACAGTTCATTAAAAAAAAAATGGACAGGCATTTTGCTGCCAGGGCTTCTGCTTCACAGTGATGCTGTACCATCTCCCCCTCTCTCCCCAGGCCAAACATGGAAGGTTACTGGGAGTCGCAACTCCATTGTCAGTGAAGCACACCCAAGGATTCTTTTCCCTCCTTTATAAAAAGAGTACATGGCAGATGTTTAGGGATGCCTGGGGCAGGCAATGGGTCCCTGAAAGTCCAGTGTTCAGAAACTGCTGGCTTAATTTATTCACATCTTGCTGGAGACGGAGGGCTTGCTGAAGAGTGTAGGCTTGCCGAGTCCCATCAGTTTCAGTCAAAGTAAATTATTTCCCACTAGACACTCTTGAGAGGGACACAACTGCCATTTTTTATTGTGATAGTAAATTTATTACAGTAACAGTTTACGTTGGAAGGCACATACTGAGGACTGACAATCCAGCATGGGGGACATTCATAACTAATGCAGCAGCATAAATTAATCCAGGTGCATTATATGTACAAGTGAGAGAGGAATACGTTTTGTAGAATAAAACTCCAGTTTTACAAACGGTAAACATGATTCCCAGTTTACCCAGGAATGATAGTGGGCAGGGTTTTGCAAATTCCCAGGTGACCCTCTTGGGGAAGGCTGCATTTTTATCGCACGCTAGCCTGTGCACGAGAAATCATTTGTTGGCTGTGCTCATTTGCTGTGACTTAATAATGTTTCCTTCTACCCACCCCGGCTTGCGGTTTCAGGAGGGTCCAGAATTTTAGCATCCGTCAAATACATTCTAATCTTTTGTGTTGGTGTTGCCCGGTTGTCAGTGTAATTGCACACAGATGTTGTGCTGCAACAGAAATGCGCATGCATGTTGTACACACAGTGGCTCCACCAACTAATTGGTTGCACTTTACTGCTAGTTATTTTAAAGATCAAAAACAAACCCATCCTAGGAGAGAGGCTGCTCTGGCATCCTGCAGCAGGCTTTCTTGAAGCTGGGCTGCAGCTCCTTTGCAGTGGCTGGATGCACTTATGAAATATTGCTGTACATTTGCAACGGAAGGTGCCTGGAAGGTGGCGCTGCAAGAGAGCACCCGTTGAACACACAGCACACTTGTGCCTGCATCTCCCCGTTGCTCTACCAGTGTGGTGGCAGGAAGAAGCGCAGCCATTTTCATTCTACAGCAAAGCAGGCCTCATCTCTATAACAGTGGAGTAATCGTCCCAGTGGCTATGTGGGTCTGCCCCCTGGATCCTCTGGCATGGCTCTCACAGATTGCAAAAAAAGCTCCGTGGCCCCCATGTGAAAAAGCACCACAGTTAGACATGTTTTAATAATTACTCCTAAGGATGTGATTACACAGCACTGTTGCCTGTGGGTTGTGGCAGATGTGCTGTGTGAATAACATCTGATTGTGAAAACAAGCACCATGTGGATGTGATCTACATATGGGGTCCTCTGTACAAGAAGGATATCCCCATGCGGTGCAAAGGAAGGTGGCTAGGAAGAGAACACTGCAGTATGGCTGGCCTGTACATAGTTAGATGGTGGTGGTAGGAGTGAAGCAAACAACTGGAGGCAGCGACAGTCGTCCCCCGTCCCCCCCGGCGTGCTCTTCACTGGCCAAGATGGTGGCTCTCACTGCCTCCCTTGTAACAGTGGGTAAGCTGGGGAGCTGCCGCTTGCCACCTACCTAGCTGGCTAACATTGAAGGGTTCACAGGGCTTGGTGTCTTCAACACTTCAGCTGCTTGAACCCATGGCCCCAAAGCACATTGTCCTCAGAGTCACATGAGACAGCTCTTCAAATTGCAGGTGTGGGATTCCCTGTTTGATTGTTCCAGCGTTAAAAATGGAAACACAACAATTATGCACACTGGACTTTAGCTTATCAGAGAACGGTGTCCTAAGGTAAAGTGAGCCATCGCGTGGCAACCAACTTATGGCAATGCCGTCATTAGAATCCCAATGTAAGAGGCGAGCAGCAGTTTGCCACTGCCTGCCTCCGTGCAGCGACCCTGGACTTCCTTGGTGATCTCCCACCCAAGTACTAACCAGGGCCAACCCTGCTTACCTTCTGAGATCTGATGGGATCAAACTTTCCCCTCTTAGGCAGAACATTCTCAAATGTGCAGTCTCCCACCTGCAGTCTAAAATGACAGATCGGCAGGCGCTGCAGTGCTGTGAGTCTCAGCTCTTGGGTGGGCTTTTTCGTTAACACCCCCTCGTAGAGCTGTAGCAGGCGACTCAAGCCGTAAAACTTTTATTACTTGGATGAAAGATGGCTAGGAGGACTGGATGTGTTGGTTTTTCCTGGATTTTTTTTTTTTTTTTGGAGGGGGGCTGGAGGTCGACAATACTGAGATCTTTAGAAGCAAAGACAACAGGGTCCATCACAGAGGGTCACACCGAGAGTGGAGAGGACAGGGGTGCTGGCACAGGTGTGTGGCTCTAAACATACTCCTAATCCGCAACAGTTGTTGGGTGGAGGCATGCAGTCAGGCGGCCCCGTGCCCACTTTGGGAGGCGCTGATGTTCGTTCACACGGATGCATTCTCAAAACAAACCGGAGCACTAGTGGGGACTGAGGAGCGCAGCCAATGCTTCTTTGTTGGGAATGCTTGGAGGTCTAACCCGGTCAGTGTGCTCCTCTTCTGGGTGGAGAGTCAGTTCGTGAGAAAAGAAGAGCTCAGAGCAACAGGACCTAGTGAGTGCTTGCCCCCCCCACTTGCCTCCCCTGCATCCACCAAAATGATAACGGCTGCTTAAACTGCATTCATGCGGATGTCCCCGAGGGGGATCTCTGTGGCGGTTTCCGGAGTAATGCTTTTTAGGATACGCTGCAGGAAGGGGGGAAAAAACCAAGAGTCAAAGAGCAAGTATTTCAGGTAGGATAATCAGGGAGGAGGAGGATAGAAAACTGACCTGATGTTTTCTTTGCTCCTCTTCCTCCGACTATACAGTCATACGTACAGGACAGCACGCACCACCATTTCTGGACCAGCGCATCCCTCATTCCCAGGGGAAGGCCAGGATGTGATTGGTGATATTTCTTCACTAAGCCCCTCCCACTGCCACGGTTCCCACATACTCTTTGGAGGGAGAGGAACAAGGTAGGTGTGCAGCAGTGTTCCCTCTAAGCTGAGTTAGTGTGAGCTAGCTCACAGTTTTTTAGCCTCCAGCTCACACATTTTTGTCTTTGCTCAGCAAGCAGGGCTCCAGAGCAAACTAATTTATGCAGCAGTCAAATTGCTAGCTCACAACTTTAATGCCGGTAGCTCACAAAGTAGAATTTTTGCTCACAAGACTCCACAGCTTAGAGGGAGCACTGGTGTACAGGTCCCTTATGTCCAGCCATGCTGCTTCTGTGAAATTAGCAGAAGAACCCCCGCATGCATACCCACACAAAAAGACTTTCCACAAACCCTTCACGGCACACGGGGCTCTGGGTGTGCAGTTCCAGCAAAACTATTTGTGAGCACACAACATCATGCACAGCCATCATTTTTAATATAGGAAATTCAATATATGATTATTTTTACTGCCAATGCTTAGCTGTAAAAAGCAAACGACCTTCAATGCAGGCCCCGTATATCCAGTATCAGCTGGATTTTTCTAGGACCATTTCAGCTATCCACCCACTGCTGATCTCGCAGCTGCCAGTGTTTACTGTATGCCAGCTGTTCAAAGACTTTATGAAAGGGGTCAGAACATCTGACCAGATTGGGTGAGAACTGGGCTGTAAAAGATGGCACTTGGAAAAACCATAAGAACAGACAACAAGTCAGGCGGGTGCCCGACAGCCACAAGAACCTTGCCTGGGCCCCCCAGAGGACGAGATAAAATGCAAACTATTGGGGGGGGGGGTCCTGCGGTAAACAGTCCTTGTGCAAGACAGATACCTCTTTAAGTGTTCCCGGGGTGGCTGCCAGCCGATAAACCATGTAGGCAGGAACACAGATGAAAGACGAGGCCCCGATGCCGTAACCCATCACCCTGGTCCAGTAGGGGTACGTGTAGTCAAAAAGCCGGAGCTCCATTGGGCTGGACATGAAGCTGATGATGATGAACTGCGGGGAACCACAAGTATTTATTCACGGGCTCAGGGCCCACCAGGTGAGATGAAGGCAGTCGCCTCCCAGGGCTAAGACAGTGGAGATGGGGGGGAGAGAGCTGACCTCTGGGGCAGGAGGGCAGAAACCGGAGTCACATAAAACTGGTCCCTGGGTGATGCCCCCAACAGCACTTGTTTGTCCAGCATGTTTTTAGCCAGCCTTTTCTCCAGGTCGGACTCAAAAGGACTAGACCCAAGAAAGGAAGACTACTTCCCACTCATGCCCTCTGGGGTTGAGGCCAATCAACTTGGGCTCCCTCGGCAGCTGCTATGACACCGCTCCCTAGCCCCAGTGCCTAGCAGCAGAGGGAAACAGTGGCTGTCTGGAACACTGGGGTGGTGCAGTGAACCCCACTTCCTCACCCCCAGACTAGCCACCCAGCCACTTAAGTCTTTCATGCCTGAGAGGTCCACGGCCCCTCTCCACATTACGGGCTGGCCCTTTTCTTGGCCACTTCACACCCACCAAGTAACCGCAGCACCAAGCCGGGTCCTTTCCCATTTAATTTATTGTTTCAGGCTAGTTAAAAAGGGGTGGGTGTGTGTGTCAATGTTTGAGGTGGTTACAGTATGCTTTTATTTATACCTTTTCTTCACCCAGTAATAAAATAGATATTTGTTAAGCACACATTAATCCTCCTGGCAGGTTTGTTTTCAACCCACTGGACAGCTTTTTACCATCAATAAACCTTAGAGGGTTCCTTTTTCCACTTGATGCTCGGTGACAACTGCAGTGAAAAGACAGCTCAGGCTAATTTGGGAGCTGATTTAACAGTGCATGAACCTAAAACACTCCATCCTATATAATGGCAGCAATAGGCAGGGACCAATGACCCTCTTTGTATACATCAAAGGGCTTGGAAACCCTCCCCCAGTGACATTTTGGGCTCTCTGAACGCCAGACTTCCCATCCCCATCAGATCATTCTCTACTTTTGAAACTCCTGTCTGCTTTAAGTGCATTTTTACATGCAGTGCCGGGGTGGGGTGGGGCTACCCTGCGTCCCTTTGTGTGGCTGTGTGCGCACGGCCTGGTGCTCTGGATCCCGGTGCGGTGAAAGTTGGAGCTTGTTTGTTTTTTAAATTGTTAACAGTACAGTGGACGAGTTGATCCACAGCCATGAGATTGCTGGCATTACCAGTCAGGGCACTGCTAACGGGAGAGCGCTCGGAAGAGCACTCCAGCCTCTTCAGCCATGCCCCTCTTCTAGCCCACCTCCTAACTTAGGACATCTTGGTTAGGGTGCAGAGGTCCATGTCATCTGAAGCTGCTGCTGGTAAACACCTGGTCAATATACAGGAAGCCCACCGCCTCAACAGGTGAACACGCTGAGCTGGGCTAGAACAGATGAGGCAGGTGGAGGTGCATCCAAGCTTTGTCCCCAGGGGCCTCAGTTCAGCAGCAAACAAGACTCAACAGACAGGGAGAGGGGAGCCACCACGGTATGTCAGGATCCCATTCTCCTGATCAAATCTGAGTGTCTCTCCTTGGAGTTCAGAGACTGAGACAGTGGAGGGGGGGGTGATGTACCACCCACCCTGTTGCCCAACAGCTTGACTTCCTGAGCTCACAAAGACAGCTGTGGCACTGAGGCTTCATTGTGGGAGAATACCACATGCCAATACTTCCTGGTGTGGGGTCACCCGTGCTTTCATGGCTGCCATGGGGCTGCTGCAAAGTATTTCTGGCCTGCAGCACCTCGAAAGGTTTGAGGCAGGTGTGCAACGGGCCACTGAGACATGTTTGGATCCAATGGTTCAGCTTAATTCCAAAATGAATGCTATTAATTACAGATATAAATGCAGTTATTCTACAGACTTCTAGGTATACTGAATATGTGGACAAGTACCTTGGAAAGACAAGTTTCTCACTTGTTTGTTTGACTCTTCCCTTTCCTGGCTCTTTATAGCTTCCAGAAGGAGTGTTAGTAGTTTGGCTGAGATCATAAATGCCTCTTTAAGGTCCCCAGCTTGTTAAAAGAAGCAGTGCTCACTTGACCCTTCCAACTTCAATAATTTCTGGCCACTTCCCCATATTCAGTTCTTAGGTAAACTGACCAAGCAGATGGTGGCAATTCCAGAGAATCTGGAGGTTATGAATTATTTAAGCCCATTCCTATCTGATTTCTGACCCGGTTCTGGAATGGGACTGCCTCAGTTGCCATGGTGGACAGTCTACCGTGGTGGAGTTGGATAGGGAGAGGGCATCCATGTTGGTTCTTGTGTGCCTCTCAGCAGCCTTCAGTGCTAGGACCAAGGTTGCATGGGCCCAATTTGCAGTAACTGCATTTCTTTCTGAAGGCTGGACTGTGCTGGGGATCCATGGGTCACCATCTGGGCCCTTATGCTACATAACATCTAGATGAGACTGCTGGGAGAGGTTGTTCAGGGATGCTCATGGAAGTTAATCCAGACAGTGGTACTTTTGGTGGGGTCAGACGAAAGGACTGATCTTGCCAGGAGGCGTCACATCATTGCTGGTACAAGTACCAGCTGCACCTTTTTCTGGACAGAAGAGGCCAAAGTGATAACAAGACCTTACCATGGGAATATCCATGGCTTAGAGATGCCCAGACTGGACTTCTGGAGTTTTTGCTGAACCTGCAACTGATTTGTTATTGGGAGGTGCAAGCCACCAGGCATGGGGGTCTCTAGTGCCATACCAGCTATGCTTGGGGTTGCCAACCTCCAGGTGGTAATACAAAAACTGAGGGTCACAGTGTTACGAAGATATGCAAAAGTATATAGCACTTTGTATAATAGATGTATGTTCAAGGTAAATAAATTTTGTGCTTTTTCTTTTTTTCTTTTTCTATAGTGTTATATAAATATTGTTATATAAATATTGTTATATAAATATTCAAGCCCAAAAGTGGGCTTGAAGCTCAACATCAAAAAAACTAAGATCATGGCATCCGGCGCCAACACTCCCTGGCAAATAGAAGGGGAAGTCGTGGAAGTGGTGACAGACTTCACATTCCTGGGATCCCAGATCACCGCAGACGGTGACTGCAGCCATGAAATTAAAAGACGCCTGCTCCTTGGGAGGAAAGCGATGGCGAAACTAAACAGCATGATAAAAAGTAGAGACATCACCCTGCCAACAAAAGTCCGCATGGTCAAAGCAATGGTATTCCCAGTAGTCATGTATGGCTGTGAGAGTTGGACTATAAGGAAGGCCGAGCGCCGAAGAATAGATTCTTTTGAACTATGGTGCTGGAGAAGACTCTTGAGAGTCCCTTGGACTGCAAGGAGATAAAATCAGTCAATCCTAAAAGAAATCAACCCTGACTGTTCCCTGGAAGGCCAGATAATGAAACTGAAGCTCAAATACTTTGGCCAGCAAATGAGAAGGGAGCACTCACTGGAGAAGACCCTGATGCTGGGAAAGATTGAAGGTCAAAGAAGACGGGGACGGCAAAGGATGAGATGGTTAGACAGTGTCATAGATGCAACGAACATGAAACTGAGCAAACTTCAAAGGACAGCGGAAGACAGGAGGGCCTGGCGGGAGCTGGTCCATGGGGTCGCGAAGAGTCGGACTCGACTGTGCGACTGAACAACAACAATATAAATATTGGTATCAAATACTCTTAAGATAGCAGCATATTTTCTAGGGTCCCATCAGAACCCTTGCGGCAGACATAATAACCTATCTAGGATAGCATATTTCTATCAGGTACCTTGTTCTGCCTCGTTCTATCAGGCCCCTAGAAAATAGGCTGCTATCTTAAGAGTTTTTGTGCTCACAAAGAGAAATTATTGCGCCTTATGTCCTTTATATACATCATAGTCCTTGAAAAAGATTGTATTTGAAATGGGTAAATTACTAGAGTCCCGTGAGACTAGTGGTTGTGATACTGACAAGGTGCTGTTTGAATATTTGAACCTGCACTTTGATGTTTGGGTGAAATCTATTTTTGATAATAGTTGATACCAATATTTATATAACAGTACAGAAAAAGGGAAAGGAAAAGCACAACATTTATTTACCTTGAACATACATCTATTATACACAGTGCTACATACTTTTGCGTATCTTCCTAACACTGTGACCCTCAGTTTTTGTATTATCACCTGGAGGTTGGCAACCCCAAGCATAACTAATGTGAAAGTTGAGAGTATTTGGGTAAAACCTATTTTTGATAATATTTGATACCAATATTTATATAACAGTATAGAAAAAGTAAAAAATAAAAAGCACAAAGTTGATTTACCTTGAACATACATCTATTATACACAGTGCTGTATCCTTTTGCATAACCTCCAGGTGATGACTGAAGAGCTCCTGGGATTACAACTGATCTCCAGATGACAGAGATCAGTTCCCTTGGAGAAAATGGCTGCTTTGGAAGGTGGACTCTGTGGTCATTACACCCTGCTGAGGTCCCTCCCCTCCTCAAACCCCACCCTTCTCAGGCTCCACCCCCATAATCTCCAGGTATTTCCCAACCCAGAGCTGACAACTTTGGCCATTTTGGCTCCATTTCACCCAGTTCACAGCGCTGATCTTAATATTTAAAGCCATAAATGGTCCTGAGTCAGGATAGCCCGAGGACTGCCTTTTCCTCTGCATGAGGCTTTTTATCCTGCCTTTCCTTGAAGGAGCTCATGTTGGTGTGTGTGATTCCCACTTGATCGTCAGAACAACCTTGTGAGGTAGTCTATGCTAAAGAAAAGGGGGCTGCTCCAAGTTCATCCTGAGAGCTCTGTGGCAGAAGAGATCTGAACCTACTTTCCACCATTACAGCACACCGACGATCCTTAAATTTGACCAGACACAGAAAGCACCTGAAAGTCCCACTCCGGTGGCTAGCGACTCACAAAAAGGCCTCTTTCTTTGACAGCAGTGCTATAATAATCCAAGGGCCTAGTTTACTACAGGGCATCCCTCTTGCCATATCTTTGCTCTGGCTTGTGAAAACTCTCCTTTTTGGTAGTTATTTCAAGGTTAGAGCGCAGTCTGTATTTAGACATTGGCAGCTGATTGACATTAAACATCAATGATTTATTTTAATGCTGCTGCAGTGCTTGCTTGTTTTAATTTAATTTTCAATGTTGCTGGTTAGGGTTGTTGGGTTTTTATCTGCCAGAGGATTTTTTTTGTATGTATGTATGATCTATAGCATTTTTAATCTCTGTTATGAGCTATTCTGGAATCCTGAATGGAACTGAAGGGTAGGATAAAATGGTTTTAAATAAATAACAATATACTTTCCCATGCACATTTGTTTTGCTTCCCAATACATTTGAACAAGGGAGATTGGACCAAACTCTCCTTGGAAAAAAAGAAAAGATTATTTCCTTTTTTAAATGTCAGAGCAACAATCTAGAGACACCTTTCAATGGGCACATGGAAGCATCCGTGCTGCTGCAGCAGCAAATGAGCATTGCTTTGCGTGCAGCCCATGTCCAGGACGGCCCTGGGGATTGCATTCTGGACTGCCCACCCACCGCAAGTCACCATGCAGGAGCCAGTTGCAGAGAAGCCTATGCACGGTTTGTTTTGCTTTAATAATCTTTTTTTTTTTTAGGGTGCAAAAATCTCTCTTTGGTTGAAATCTGGTTCAGGGCGGTGGGTGAAGGGCACCCTTAGGAGTTACAGTAGTCAGGCCTTGTTGTGCTTGAAAATCTCTGCAGTAAACCAAGAGGAGGAAGGTTTTCAGAGCAGCAAAATGTAAAGAAGAGCAATACTCTGATGAAGCAAAATGGACGTGAATCCCTGGCTTATTGATTCACACAAGGAAGAAGAGAAGATATTGGATTTATACCCCCCCACCACCCTTCAGTACCCAAAGGAGTCTCAGGGGGACTCACAATCTCCTTTCCCTTCCCTTCCCCACAACAGACACCCTGTGAGGTAGGAGGGGCTGAGAGAACTCTTTCCGGAACTGCTCATGAGAGAACAGCTCTAAAAGAACTTGTGACTGACTCAAGGTCACACCAGCAGGTGGAGGAGTGGGGAATCAAACCCGGTTCTCCCATATTAGAGTCCACGCTCCTAACCACTACACCAAACTGGCTCTTTCCAACCACAGGGTAGCTTCTGGACTGGACTGAGAGACTGGCTCAGCCTAATCAGCCTCACGAGTGATGTGCACAACATCATGAAAGGAATGGATGTGCTCCTTGAAAGGAAGCTCTGCTGCTTTGCAGAGATCTCCCCCTCCAAAGACCCCACCAGCAATCAGGATGGCCACCCTTGGGATTTGACTTCCCATCAGACTCACCAGGAGGAAGAGGGGGCTGATGGCGACCCAGCAGACTCTCCAGTACCAACCAGGGCTAAAGCCAATCATCTCTTTCACATCACTGCAGAACTGGGCAACACCTGCAGAGTGACAAGGGGAGGGACCAGGGTTAGCCATATGTTTCTATGAATTCAGCCAATGAGAAGTAAGTGGCGCAAGAGCTTTGATTGCACCAGCTCAAGGTTCAGTGCACATAAAAGCTTCCAAGTTTCACAGCACCATTTGGCATTCTCCCGAGGAGAAGGATGCATACTTCCATGCCACCGTTATCTGGCTCCTTGATGGGCATGGTCACACAAGGCACTTTAGCAGCTGACTTGAGTTGTCAGAAGCCAGTGAGAGAGGAGCGGGGACAACGAAGGAGCAAGGGGACCGGGAAGAGTTCCAGAACAGCTGGAAATCTCCCATGTGGGCCAGAGCCAGGCACTCAGAGGTGTTTCCATTTCCTGGCCAAACCTCATACTGTATATTATCCCACTTCTTCACAAACTGTGGATTCCCACAGGGGTGATGTGCCAGAGCAGCTGGCCCTCACGGTCAATGGGAAGGAAGCCTCACCGTAGAACCAAGCCACCGCAATGGACTCCAGAAACACCACAGCTAGGAGGGCTGGGCCTGTGGCATATTCTTCAAAGAGCTTCACGACATAAGCGCCACCCTGTTAAAAAGAAATCACAGTGTTGCTTCAGGTCCCAAGCAGGGAAGCCAGAAGAAACCGGCCTGGCCCTTCCATCATCCGCTCAAGCCAAGTCAATCCCCCCTGTTGTGCTGATGACCCCTTTTTCTAGTTGGCTTCCCTCCCTCCCTCCCTCCCTCCCTCCCT